GTTGGCGGATGGTATTGTTGACTAGCTGCCTTTCCTTTAGTCTATCATTTCAAAATTATGGATGGCTAGCACAGACAGTCCTCGTGTAGCTTTTCGCGAAATTCGACAAACAAACCAACACTAATTTGTATTATAAGAAAAAAAATATATCAATTTGAATTTCAATCTTAGAGGTTTTTTGTTTGTTTTAGGGCAAAGCCACACATTGAGATATTTATGCTTTGTCCACCACAACAATTCGAAAACCGGATTTTAGCGTTGTAAGTCCGTAAACTTACCGGTGACCTAATAGGGGACATTTTAGAGGGGAAGTATAAAAAACATTCTAAACTTGCTTGAATCATCTCTGAAATGGTACATAAGTCCTTCAAATTCTATAGCTAGCAAGTTACATAATAATTGTCTACAAGTTGTGCAAGTGAATTGATTCATCAAGATAAGTATTTTTACACTTGTAGCAAGAAATGGTGGTTAAATATCAACCTTCACGACGTTTTTATGTCAAAAACTAACCATTACTCCATCAAGATTGTTATTGATATACTTTAACGTAAAAAAAACGATAGGTTCTAATAGAAGTATGACTAATCTAGACTTAATTGCCTTTTGTGGTAAATTGTATAATAGTTGAATTTATCTATATTAACATTTACTTTTAAGGAGAATATTAAGTATACTTAATTTAAATGTTAGCATATTGTTACGTATCTGCTTGTTTGTTAATTTCCGGTAGAAATTCTTTCTGAAAAACTTCAGCCATACAAGTCCTGTCTTGAATGAACTAGTTTATTCTTTCTTGATATAACTTTTAGTAATACACAGAATTTCCACAGTCACTTTAAACTTAACAACCTTTATAAACACACGCTATAATTCACAGTTCGCTTGACTCAGTTATCTCTATCTTCAATCTATCTGCACAGCTATCTGGCAAATACTCGGACATTCGCGAGGTTCCTCGATAAGTCATGATCCTTCTAGAAACTCCAGCGCGCATGCTCCCAGCGTCGCGT